TCGCGAGCCGTCCTGCAGCCGGGGGCTCCCGGGCTCGCCACGTCGCCGAGGGCGCCGCCTAGCGTGCCTGTGCAATCTTCTTCTTCGGACGCGGCTTCCTGATAGGACTCCAACCGCCTGGCTGAGGGATAAAAGGTCCTACTGAGTCATCATCTGAGAAGAGCCACTTGCGAGCGGAGTGTCAGGCAGTTCCTTCAACAGCTACCTCGCACCACTCCCTCCACTCTCGAACCCGGCCGTCCCACCCCACATCCCACCTCCGCGCTGTTATTAAGGAACTTGCCTCATAGTCACCGAGAGAAGCAGAAATAATCAGACAGGAACTCTCTTCTTTTTCCACCATCAAATCTACCAACTTACCTGCATCTGTACCCGCTCGTTCTGTCCTTCCTCCTGCTACTATGCACGAAGTGCCCTTCCATGTTTCAAATGCCAGACTCTCCGTTTGTGACCTGGACCTCACCCCTCTGACTCCTCAGTGACTTCCCCTTAAAGTTCTTCCTTCTTTCACTTACACCAATCTCTCTTCAACTAATTTCGTGGCTTTATGTCCCTGTCTCTCCACTGACATTGCTCTTGTCTAGGTCACCAGTGAGCTCCATGTTGCCAAATCCAGCGCTCACATCTGTCCTTATCGCATGGGAGCCCTCAGTAATATCCAGCACAGTTGACCTTTCTTTCCTTCTTGAAGTGCCTCTTGATTTTTTGGATATCACACTTAACTATTTTTCCTCCTACTTCAATGACGGCTGCTTCTTAGTTTCTCCTGCTGTCTCTTCATCTCAGCCCTCAAATATTAGAGAGCTGGAAGAACTCCTTGCCTCCTCCACCGACACATGCTTCCTTGGTGATCTCATCTGATCCCATCTTTGAAATATAATCTCTGTGTATGTGACTGATATATAGGTATAAGCCTATACGTTCAACTCTGACCTTTCACAGGAATTCGGATCCATGTATCCAACTCTCCACTTGATAGCTCCGCTTGGATGCCTACAAGGCTCTTCGAGCAGATACAGGCCTAGCTAACTCCCCTGCCCTCTGGAAGTCTCTTATCATGTACCCTTGTCAGTGAAGATCTGACTGCACTGGTTATTACTGATCCTACCCCAGGACTTACTACCATACATTATATATCTTATTTATTTTATTTTTTTTTTGAATCCTCCAGTAGAATATAAATTCCAAAAAAGCAGAGGAGTTTGTCTGTCTTGTTCATATGACATTCTCGGAGTCCAAGGCAGTGGATGATAGACACTCAGTAAGTGCTTGTTGAATAAATAAATAGCCATGTCAAATTGAACACGGTCAAAACAGAACTCTTTCCTTCTTCCCCCCCCCCAAATTTGCTTTTTGTGGTCTCCCCATCTTTGTAAATGACACCAAACTATCTACCTAGTTATCTAAGCCCAAAACGTAGGATTCTCCTTAGTTCTTCTCTTCTTCCCCATATTGGAAGTATCACCAGCATCTGTTCACCATACATCCAAAATTCATCCCAAATATCTCCCCTTCTTTCCATCTCCACTGCCTTAGCCCAGGCCACCATCATCTCCCAACTAGACCAGTGCAACAGCCTCATTAGTCTCCTTGCCCCTCTGCAATCCATTTCTCAAATAGTAGCGAGGGTGATGTACTAGCTGCTCCCTCTGACGGGAAGGCTTTTGCTCTGAATTTCAAGATTATGTCCTTCAAATCTGGGCTTTAATGTCCCACTTAGAGAGGCCTTGTCTGACTAGCTAATCCAAAGTAGCCATCCAAGACTTCTATATCATAACACCTTATTTTAATTTTCTACAAAGCATTTATCACTATTTAATATTTTTCTTGATTCCAGCATCTGGAATATAGAGTAGACAATCAATAAATTTGTGCTTCTTGGATTGCTAGTTATCTCTACTCATCCTAAATTGAGCTACTGAATAAAGTATGGTTTTGGATAAGTCATTTTATAAAATGAAGAATGTTCTCACATTCTATTTATTACAATAGTTTTTGTCGGTAATTTTTAAGGGCAAAGAGAGGCTAAGGGGCTATGTGGTATTACTAGGTTCTAGTACCCAACTTGGCAAAGACTAAGTGGCTTTCAGTAAATCTGAGCCTTTGTTTTCAGAAGGAAACATTTCAGAACGAACACTTTAGGTTCAACGATTTTAAGATCTTTTCTAGTTATGCAAGCCTCATGATACTCTCTGCCTAAACAATATAGAATATTTTCCTTAATGACCTTTCAGCTTCAAAAACTGGTCCATATGTTATGCCCCAAAGATCCCAATCTCTACCATTCTCACCTGTGCCTTTGCTTGGAGTATCCATTCTGTCCTTTCTATTAATATTTACATCAATCCAGAACATCTTTAAAGCTTAACTCAAATGCCAGCTCCTCAAAGAAGACTTCTGTAACTACATGGGTTCTCATCCATGCTACTCATTGGAAATTTTTAGCTTTCATATGCAGAATGTTCTATATACAAGGC